CGGTTGAAAAATTTAATAAATAAATAAAAATAAATAAAAATAAATATTCAGCTGTAATTTGTGTGTGCTGGATGGGTGGTGGATGGACTACTGCAAAGGCTGTGGTTGAACTTTCAGCTGGATTCTTCTTGGTGTGCATTCATGCAGCGACCTGCTTTCCCAACATGCTGGGTTTGTGTGTTGCTCTTGGCAAAGGGAGCCCAAGGCTGTTCGCTTACCAGTAGGCAGACAGGCGGAAGCGTTTATAGATTTATTGACATTACCCGTTCTCTCTCTTTTCCAGCAATGGCAAATGAGTATCGGTGTCAGCGAAGACAACTTGCTCTTTTCGTGTTCGATCTGGAGGTACGGTATAAATCGTTTTCTTCTGTTAATGCCAGGAAGTGGGGTGTGTGGAAAAAAAAGGCAGCGTGGACGCTCCTCTTTCAGGGCCCCTCATTCCATTCCTCTGCCCCATTTGGTTTTCTGAACTCGCCCAGAACAACACGTCGGCATCCCGTGGTCACCGACCATCTTGGCTTCCCAGTTGACTGTTCTAAGATCCTCACCTGACGAAAGGAAGGTTATTTGAATTAGCTTTTTGGCATAGTTCTGCAGTCTTCAGGGCTCCGTGAAGCTGGTTGATGTCTCCCTTTGAGGAGGCCAGTCGAAACAATATCGTCAAAGGGAGATGCTCACAAGCTCTGTGTTCATCTCCCCAAGGTTAAAGCTGATAAGCTCAGGGTTATTATGAACAAACTCACTCTTAGTATCAAGAAGCTCTGTGTTGATAAGCTCACTGTTGGTACCTTCAGTGCTCACACCTGAAACAGAAGGAACAAGGTTATTATTGAAATGGGTATTCGCCTTTCTGTTTCAATAAGCACACGAGGCAGTTTATACTGATTAAAGAACAATGAGATCAGAGCGATCAAAATTAAAATCATGTGTCCAAATAAAGCTTGCTGGGAGAGAGGTGCTTTTATCAGCCACCTTAAGACTGGGTGAGTGAGGGCCATGGGTGTTTTCCTAGGCAAGGGCCCACAGCGAAGAAGGTCCCGGCCCATGTACATTTGCAGCTGTTGGAGATTTTTCAAGCATAGCCCCCCATCTTTCTGTGTGTGTGTTTGAGAGATCTTTTCCATCCTACCCTGGCCTCTGATGGGAGACAGCTCTTCCATTTCACAAACATTAACCTAGTGTTTCTCAACCTTGGCAACTTGAAGATGGGTTGACTGGCTGGGGAATTCTGGGAGTTGAAGTCCACCCATCTTCAAGTTGCCAAGGTTGAGAAACACTGCATTAACCACTTGTGTTTCTTCTTCCCTCCCTGCTTCCATCCTACCCACCCTCCGATTCCAGAAGCCTTTTTTCTGCTTTGGATCCACACCTCTAACAGGACATTGTGGGGTTGAAATCATCTCTTCCAGTCTCAATATCCCAGATGTCACTTTTTTTCCCCCTGTCTTTAAGGCCCCAAGGGAAATCCTACCTTTTCTTCACCCAGTTTAAAGCTGAAGTGAAAGGAGCAAAGATCCAGTACGCCATGGCCTATGTGAGTCCCATCGGAAGCTTTGCTGGGGTGAGGTGGGCTGGGGTGAGGTGGGCTGGGGTGGTGGGAAGAACAGGCCTGCTAAATATAAAATGTTATTAAAAGATTTCTGTTTGGCCCAATGACACACTGTTCTGTTTCAGATATCCAGCCTAACCAAGTGTAGGTGGGAATAATACAGGTAGTTCTCACTTAACAACCGTTTGTTTAGTGACCATTACATGGAAGTTACAACGGTGCTGAACAAAGGGACTTACAACCGGTCCTCACACTTACAACCGTCGCCACATCCTCGTGGTCATGTCATCGCCATCCGTGCGCTTGGTAACCAGCTCACACGTGATGGTTGCAGCGTCCTGGGGTCACGTGATCACCATTTGCGACCTTCCCAGCCGGCTTCCGGCAAGCAAAATCAGTGGAGAACCACGTGATTCACTTAACAACTGTGTGATTCGCTTAACGGCTGTGGTGATTCACTTAATGACTGCTGCAAAAAAGGTCGTAAAATCAGGCACAACTCACTTAACAACCACCCCGCTTAACGAGGAAATTTTTCGGTCGGTATTGTGGTGGTGAAGTGAAGACTACCTGTAATAACAATGATATAGTATGATACGTGCCTACCAAAAGGTACAGTTAAGATGCAATATAGCACAAAGATTGATATTCACATCCAGATATTTCAGATCTTCACCCTTTGAAACTTGGAACACTTGGGCAGTGTCCATACTAAGGACACCCGCAGAGGTGGGGATCAGAAAGAATAAGATGGCAGCCTTGACTGTGTGGTCACCATTTTGATTTTTTTTGGATTCCCCCCTACATCACCGAGCCAGTTGTGGCTTCCTCAACAAGCGTGGCTAACCGTAATTTAACACGGTGCCCGGAACCCAGTGTTTGTGTGCTGGTTTGAATTAAGGGGTTTCTTTCCCCCAGTGACTTCCTTGGTTCATTTACTGCAGTGTTGTCCAAACTTGGCCACTTTAAGATGAGTGGACTTCAACTCCCAGAATTCCCCAGCCAGCATGATTTACTGGAACATTCTTTGCCCGTGTTATATTTTCTACTGACCACTAGGAGGCACCAGACCACCAGCTTCGTCCTTACATTGGGACCGGTCAGGCGTAGGTCGCCTCCAATTATACCTACGTGTACCTTCACCTGATGAGTCCCAGTATAAGGAAGAAACTGGTTCTGTAGGGCCTTCAAGTGGTCAACAGCAAATAGAACCTACCAAAAAAAGCTGTCAACCCTCCTTGAGGCTTCTGCTGTGGGGCCCAGACAAAACTCCCTATAAACTCTCTCGCTTGAGAGTGTAAATAATGAGAAAATAGGAAGGTGTATCTCAACAGCACCTATTCATTGCTTTGCCCTTGGTTACAACGCCTGGGCTACTCTTGGTTCATCGCTGTCCTTCCCCGTGGTTTCATTACAGTGGAGTTTATTTCTCCTTTTCGAACATCCCATCTGATACTTTTAAGTGTGCTTCATGTTTTCTTTCCTTCGTTGACACCCCCCCACACACACCTTCAACCACAGTGTTGTTTTCAGCCACATCTGCTTGGCTCCCCCCCTACCTCGCCGCCTCTAGAGGATTCCCCTGGGTGCACCGTGGTCTCCTCCCACGGTCAGGGCAGCCATCTTGACTTTTCTGAACTTGCTTCAGACACCCTGGGCCCCCTTCCCCTTTGTCCCAGTGACTGACCATCAAAATAGTGGGTGGAGTTGAACCCTTTGGAGTCTTG